GGAACTACAAAGGTGACTGCAGGTAATCCCCAAGGCCCTAAGCCCTAAACCCTAAACCCTAAACCCTAAACCCTAAACCCTAAACCCTAAACCCTAAACCCCGAAGCCTTAAGGAGGCCTTCGAGCTTCCTCGAGCTCATCGCGCTTGAGGCTTAGCTCCCCGACCTCCCGGTCACGGCGGGTCCTGAGCGGTTTTCTCAGGGCTCTGTGGGGGTTTAGGGTTTAGGGTTTAGGGTTTAGGGTTTAGGGTTTAGGGTTTAGGGGGTTGCGTTCAGGGTCTAGGATTGAAGGTGTATGTAGGGTCTATGGGTTTTGGGTTATTTAGGCTTCCGGGTTTTGTTTAGTGTTTTGGGTTTAGGGTTCTGTAAGGCCGCTATAGGGGCTACAATACAAGGTTGTACAGAGGCTCTGCAAGAGGTTTCCATGGATAGTCTATGAGGGCTCTATAGGATTCTCGAGAGGTTCTAAGGGCTTTTAACTGCTCCTGTTCTGGGGTGTTGGAGCTTGCAGAGTTTTGGGTTCGGGGCGTTGCGGTCTTTCGAGTTTAGGCCTTTAGGGTTTAGGTGGTGTGGCTGTGCTGCGTCTAGGAATAGATCGATAGAGATTGGTATGAATAGATCGATAGAGACTGCAGAGATAAAGGGCCGGTCTTCCTTATTCCGGAAAGCGCAGTGCGAAGAGCTTCAACATCCGAGGTGATAGCTGCAGATTGGCGACGGTGTCTCCAAGACGAGAGACCTCAGAAATGCACGTACAATGTTTCGGGGTTGAGGTATCGGTCGAGCTTTCGTCAAAGCGTAACCCTCAAAATTTCCATCGCTATGACTCCACTGACGTGGCTATGACTGTAAATCCTCAGTGCCAAGGAGGCTGCAAACTCTTGTGAACTCCCGGCTGACCTCCTGAAGCTTCTCGACCTCCTGTTCTTTGGAAACGTGACGCCGGTTCCCTCTGTGCCATCACCCGAAAACCATGAGCCCACAACCCTAGAACCGCAAGGCACGAGCCAGCGTAAGGTACAGGCCTCGAGCATTACAGGCGGCCCACAACCCACATGTCTTAAATTGGCAGCTTGGTTTGGGTTCGTGTTTGGGGGTTTACGCACCCCTTGAACTGTAGGGTGCCCACGCGAATCATGCGCAGCAGCTTGGGATCAGAGTCCAGCTCTGCATCGTTCTCGTCACCGACCTGACGTGACAAAAAACTCTGCAGCCGTCACACGAAACACAAAGAGCATGGGAGTTAGATCATCGCGGCCACCATCCTCATCGGGATCATCACACACAGAAAAATAAACGTACCCAATCATGTACATGAGCATCACTACCATCATCATTCCCATCACCCGCATGGCAGTTTCATCACCAAGTTCATCTTCACCCAGCAGGAGCTTTGGAAGAGATGATCTGGCAAGGCCGTAGGCAGCAGGCGCTGCAGAGGCACGAGTACCTCAATCATCATAATCTGCCCCAGCACGTGAAGTAATCGAGGAAAGTAGCAACAAGCACATCAGCAGCAGCCTCAACAAGGTAGAACGGTGTCAGACGAAGAGAAAGGAAGGAAGAGTGGTAAACAGCCATCTTTACAAGCCTCTCGCCTCTCACACGAACCTGAAGATCAAACTGGGGAAATTCGTGGCACCATCAAACACAAGAAGCAGACAGAGCTACATCCCTGGGTCGCAGCAGAACGCCAGGCCTTGGCGGGTGCGAGCTCCTCCCATTGCTGGTCCGATAGAGCGTCGCTGCCCCGGAGGAAGGCTTCGAAAGCCGTCTCGGAGTGCAAAACAAGGTGTCGGTTTTATGGGTATAAGGCTTCATAAGCGAAGGTGCGAGGGGTGAAAGGGCCCAGGGGTTGAAGTTGGGGACTTTAGGACTTGCAGTGCTGTTGCTTATCATCGGGGGCCTGTGCTAGGCACCCTTTGTTCTGGGTTCCGCAGCTCCCATGTCGAGTCATGTGGAGATCTTCATGCGTTGAGAAAGTCAAGGGTACGAGGGCTTAGAGATTCGGTTTAGGGTTTGGGTCCCCAAACCGGCCGGTTGCGTCCGGGTGGTGTAACTCACATAAAGCCGTCGTGGAGCGTTAACAGAGACTTCGGTTCGGCACAATCCTGTCCAACTGAAAAGCTTAACCTGAGAAGCCTGACTAAATTTCAACATTAAAAGGGTTAAATTTTAAACCTTAGAATTCATAAGCGCTAAACTCTATCAGAAACTAGGTCTTAAACCCGGCGGCCTGAAGACCTCAAAAGCCAGAGCTCCAGATGCAGGGATTCAGCTGAGACGTTGGCCTCTGCCTTGGCCAAATTCTTCACCGCCACCTGCCGCAACTAGCGAGAACTGGGTTTGGGCTGCTTTGGCGCTCCCGGGTTGATGGTCTTGGTGTAATTTGGGGCTTGGGAACCGGAGACACCTGTGAACGAACACCTTAGAGCTGCGACGACAACGAGGACAAGAACGGCAGAAGCGGCCATATCATCCGGAAGGAGGACAAGCAGATAAAAAAAGGAAGAACAGAAAACGACTTCTCAAATGAAACGAACACGGCACTGAGCCGGCACTACAGCGGACAATCACACAATCAGCGGTAGCAATGACAAGGATACTACCACCACCGCCATCACCATGACGTCAACCCCCCATGCTGTGCCCATCTCGTCTCCGGCCCCTCTACATCCGAGAACCTGGACCCAAGAGGCCTTCTTATTGTGTACTATGACTTATTACAGTATATTATAGCATATGATCGTATATTATAGTATAATTGAAATTGTAACGTTAATGTATCCGCACCTCCAGCTCAAGGTTGACCCGGTCCAGAACGCCCTGCTGCTCAGCGAAGTCCTGTTCGACACTTAGGCTTTGCAGGGCTGGGGTCCTTGAACAGTACACCTCCACACGCCACGCGCCACCTTCAAGCCTGCTTTGGATTTTAGTGTGCTACAATATGAAAATGGCTACAGTACGAATAAGACTCTAGGGTCTACGGGAAACTCTAGCATTTTCTCACGTTCGGTCCTGAATCGCTTGTTGCCAAATGGCCCGGCTGTCGTAGTAGCCCTGTGCTCTCTCGAGCACGGGCCGTCCAATCTCCTGAGGTTCGGGCTCAAACTCTATAAGGGTATCATGGTGAACCCTAAACCCTAAACCCTAAACCCTGTTCTAACGGGGTTTTGAAAAAGGTTCCACAGGTTTGATGCGGCCTTTTTTAAGCTTTGAAAGACTCGGGGCTCTCGGACTCAGGGTCGGAGGCAGCTCGGCTTTCCCACTTCGCATGCGGCTTTGGGAGTTCGGTTGTGGGTTTAGGGTTTAGGGTTTAGGGTTTAGGGTTTAGGGTTTAGGGTTTAGGGTTTAGGGTTTAGGGCAGGGCGAACGGTGATGTTGGGACGTGTTTAGAGAGGTTTGAGCCCTGGCATGCGGAAGAGCTACCCTATAAAAGGACGACAACAACAAGATCAGGCAAACCTCACAAGCCCAAAATGCACCAGATGAGAGCACGAAGTTAAGAGGCGTCCAAACTCGAACCCTGCATCTCCTGCACGAGTGAGTTGAACTCGGCCACCCAGTCGGTCAGCGTCTTCATGTGCACCTGCGTGCTCGGAGGGCCGAAATGGAGCAAGGGTCAAACTTGAAACCCAGACGGCCAAACCCGAAACCCCTCAACCCTAAACCCGAGTTTAGTATGCACGGAACTCAACTCTAGGGCTTCGGCGCATGGTTAAGGCGTTGAGGCCCCATGAAACGCCAGGAAAGCCCCTACCTACTCTAGGGCTACATACGTGACCGCAAGAGGATACTATTCCCAAGATTCAGACTTGTACTTTACCCTCATGGCCGCCTCGTCCAGGGCCTGGTACTCATCCACGATCGTGGCAACCTTTCGCTCAGCCTCCCGACGATTCGCCAAGAAGAGCTCAAGGAGGCGGCGACCGAACGGGATGTTGGGCTCTGGGGTTCTTGAGGTCATGGGGTTTACGTGGTTTGGCGGAATGGTCCTAAACCCAACGTCTCTTGCTATGCCTCTTTAGTCTGCCATGATAGCTCAAGGACCGACCAACCCATATGTTCAGGAATGCCACTCAACACTTCTAAGTCTCCTAGTCTTCAGCCTGGAGGGCCTGGGGTTTCGACTACCACAGCAGTCCGCCGTGTCTTAGGGTTCTGGGTTCGGTGAGTCCCGGGAGTGAGGTGTTTGGGTAGTCCGTTCGGGGTTTACCCTCTTTGAGGTTGTCGTATGAGCATATCGGACGCCCAGAGGGGAAGCCTGAATTGGTAAGAAAACCTTAAGCCCGAAAAACCTAAACCCTAAACCCCCAAACCCTGCAAATGTTACTTAAGCTTGTCAAAGCCTAAAGCCTAAAACCCTAAACTCCAAACCCCAAACCTTACCTAAGCCCTCGAAGCCTAAAGCCTAAAACCCTAAACCCTAAACTCCAAACCCCAAACCTTGCCTAAGCTTGTCAAAGCCTAAAGCCTAAAACCCTAAACCCCAAACCCCAAACCTTACCTAAGCCCTCAAAGCCTAAAGCCTAAAACCCTAAACCCTAAACCCAAAACCCTAAACCCTAAAACCCTAAACTCCAAAGCGCTGAAGAGCTCGGCCTCGACGAATTCCGCCTCGGCGAGCTCGGGCAGAACCACGGCAGACCTCGCCAGGGCGGCAGAAGAACCAGAACTGGCTTCATAGGGCAGAAAGGGCGTAGTATAGTGTAGAAGTATCATCAACCCAATGGCCCTAGTATAGTGTATAAGTATCATCAACCCTATGGAATTCAATGGCATTGCCTTTTTTGACGAATCAGGTTTTAGCACAGGAGTCGGAAAATCAGGTTTGCCGCGTGGATCTTAGGGCTTCAGGGCTTCGGCTTGTGGGGTAAATGCGACGTCGAAGAGTCCCAATCATACATTCGGGCCTGGTCCGGTGTTGCGCCGTCGGATCTTCGCCCTCTGCCTGCCACCATGATTTATAACGAACAAGCGCAGGTGGCCGTTGTCATAGTAACGTTGGAGGGGGAGGAGATGTTGCAATAGCAGCAGCACTGCCAGAGGCAGCAGCAGAGTCGCCTGCGCATCGGCAAACGCATTCATGGGCGATGTCTAAGAGATTTGGGGGTTTCCGAAATTAGGGGACCCTAATATAGTACCCTAAATAATAGGATCCTTATTATAAGGACCCCAAAATAAGGTACCCCCCTATTTTTGGAAAAGTCCCATTTGTATACGTAAAGTCAAACAGACCAAAGTCCTAAAGGCCTACAGCAGCCTTCAGCTATAAAGCCCAAGAGGGGCTTCTAGTTTTCAGACAGAACCCACTCCAGCACCGTCCTGTGCAGCCGTTAAAACCTATGAAACCCCTGCAAAGCAGGCTGCCCAAACCCGCCAGTGGCAGCCAGGATGCCGAATTCGCTACTGAGTCGGGTAGTGTCGCGGACCTCAGCAAACGAGGGTTCTGGTTCGGTCTGCGTTTCGGGCTTTGGTCCTTTGATCAGGGGGAGTTGGGGCCAGGTAGGGTTTCGGTTCAAGTGACAATCGGAAGTCAGTTTAAACATGTCGTCAGCCGATTGTATATTCAAATCTGTTATCAGATTCTACCAGCTGAAGCAAACACGAGCAAACTTGCTAGTTGTGGCCAGCATACTCAATGTGTCAGGCCTGAAGACCTGTTCAAGGATCTACCCAGCGAGGACAATTTAATTCGTGGCAGTGACACCTTTATCTTCACCGTATGGGTTGGAACGGAGCTGTAAATCAGTAACTCCCACGTCTTGTTTTCGCTTTTCGAGTTCAATGTGCTTTGGGGTCGACGAACAAAGCCGCGTGGCGAATCGTTCGGCCGGACCCACTCGACCAGAGCGTGCACGTCTTCCATCATGCCTGAAGCAAGCTAAATCCGAACATCTGAAATTTTCCTCTGTCCGTGCGCAAGGCAATCAGCCACTGGGCCATGCTGTGACATATGAATTACACGTTGTTGCTTGGGTGGTTCGCTGAGTATGTGCTTGGCGGGCTCGGTGGAGTCCATGGTTTCCACCCAGTCTTGCTTTGATTTCGCCTCCAAATCAACGGAGGCTTTCACGGACAGGCCCGTGCAACAAGTCCAAGATAGTCTGAAATGGCCTGTAACTGCTGCAAAGACTGGAAACCACAATCTGACAGAAAACTCATCAAAACTACAGAGCGGTCGTTGGCAATGGTCACGAAAGAGGATCCATGTTTTCAGCTTGGCTGGCACTGCTGAACGGCATCGAGTGCTCCTTTATGCCCGGTGGAAAAGTCTTGAAAGCAAAGTGACAGCTTGCGCACCAAACCCGCGTTGTACCTCCATGCTGTCGTTGACAATGTCAACATCAGCCCCAGACGGTGATGCGATTGGGGCGATTCCCGGTGCATGCAGGCCAGTTTGAAAAATCATACAGCCTAAACTGTCTAAACGAGTCAAAAGGATGCCCAAAGCAGATCGTACAGAAATCTCAGTACAAGGGCAGTTCCTTCAACTAGGATAAGGATGCGAAGCCAGGGGGACCCTTAATATGGACTCGGAACGTATCTGCACCTGCGGCGTCTGGCGACTCCGCGGTCTGGGATGAGGCGGCAGCTTCACCTTCCTGGCTTGGGAATCGATGAAGCACAAGAAGCTCGTGATAGCAGCAATAACCAGGATAATGCAAATGGTGACCATAGTGATCGTAATGGACATACTCAACATATCTGAGATGATAACAACAAGAAATATGGCAATAGAAAGCATGATGATGATGGTCGCTAACATCATGATCATGATGAAGACAACAATGATAATGCAAGTCACGACAGTAGTGACAGTAACAATGCACACCGTAACAGCAAGTAGTGACAGTAGTGCCAATACTAATAGTACTGAAACTACCACAGTACTAACAAATGCACAATCACAGAAGCAAAATGAAAACAGTGATCTGGAAGAGGAAGAAGAACAGCATAGTTCAGATACGGTAAGGGGTTCGAGCTTCAGGGTTTGCCGATTGAAATTAGGGTTGATGATCGGGGCTATTCGAAAGTCGACCTCAGAGATCTGCCTGCTTAGACTAATGTGGTCTCGGATGTAATACCATGCTCATGCCCACCATGATGACATCTCTAAGAATCCCGAAACTCATCGCCCACAAGCGTGAACTCGAAACCCTGAACTTGAAACCGCTCGGAACCTTGAATTTCCCAAGCTTTGCCCCGGGAACCCAAAGGCCACTCGTGTATGTATAAATGCAAATACGCACATATATGCATGCATGTGTCCGTGTGATTGTATGTGCATACAAATGTGCTCGTTCGCTCGTGCAAGTTCAGAAGGTGTAAAGCATCTTGGTGTAAGGTATTTGCATCCACGGATACGGGGACGGTCCAAAAACAGGGGAATCCCACAACCTGCACCGCAAGACCACTCACCCCCAAACACTATAAACCCCAGGCCCCAGGCCCCGGACCCCAAACCCCCCAGCCGTAAAAAGCCCAAACACCAACAAGCACCCCAAAGAACATAGACCCTAAAGCCGAAAGCCCCTGAGACCCACCCTCACCCCGAACCCTAAAAACCCCATAGACCCCTAGACCCAAAACCCTCAACCCCGGAAACCCCTCCTGAACCCGAGCCCGAGCCTGCTGAGATTTCAAGAGCAGCTTCGCGCCCTCCGGGGTGAGAACCTGCCAGCACCAGACGGCACGCACGGTTTTTTTTGTGGTTTTTATGACCTCTTTTCCTTCGCCTGATGAGGCGCAGGGTTTAGGGTTGAGGGTTTAGGGTGCTTCTAGAGCTGGTTCGGGTGTAGCAGGGTCTAAGTTTGGGTCTAGGAGTGCTTCGGGTTGCTCTTGGTAGATGCTTGCTGCGACTAGGCTCCGTTTAGTCTTATTATCAAGATGCTCGCCGTTAGTGGCACTAGCTTGGTTGTGCTGCTGCTGCAGCTGGTGCTGGTGTTGGTGGGGGTGGCGGCGGCGGCGCCGGTGGCGGTGGCGGTGGTGGCGATGTTGATTTTGACGGTGCTAACGGCGGTTTTGATGCTGTTGATGACGATGAAGATGTTGCTGATGGTGACAACTGCCGTGATTCCGTCGCTGTTCCATCTTCATTCTCACATTTTTAGACATTGCTACTCGGATTACTTCTGGCATTGATGCTAACATCCACTGCTATATTCAGTGCAGAACCGAGCGATGACAGTTCAATAAAAGCGACCCCAAACTGGCCCGAAAACACCATCCCTAGACTTTGAACTTCAACTAAACCCCAATCTTTAAACGCTATGCACCAAACCTGAATCCTGCACCCAATTGAAGCACCTCCCCCAAGGACTCCAGCGTCAGGCATCCTACTTCCATCCAGGCCTGTCAGACCTACTCAGTCCGACACCATCATGTCGTATATGTATTTGCCATGAGGGAACGTCAACATTTTTTTCCAGCCCTCAAGTCAAGAGTGACCCCTCCCAAGCCACCCCATTGCATCTAAGTCTGTCCTACGGTGTCAAGGTGAGATTTTGTCTGGTGTGGCGGCCTCGTCCAGCGGATGCTCTTCTAAGATCTTTAGCACCTGTCCCAGCTCAGGCATGTGGGTCTGTAGTTAATGGATGTGTTTGGCCACTGGACCTTGACACTGCAAAGCCTTAACTGTGCATGCTTCCCAGGCCCAACAATGTACCAGCACCAGTACTTAAGATTCCGGGCATAGGGCTTCAGGGCCCTTCACCCACCCCCGCAGCCACAGTGCGTTATGATTGGCGTCCAGGAAAGCAACTGAAACGCGAAAGGATAAATCCTCGAACCTCTAGACAGCCCCAAGCGGGGGACTCCTCTTAGCCTGAAGACTACGAAACACGGCTGCAACTTCCAAGCAAGATAGCAAATGCACCGATCCCCAACCCAAAAGCCCGACACTTCAGGAGACTTCAGACAACTCTGAGTACCCCATCTGCGGCAGGACTCAGGGGTGTTGGCTGAGGGCTTGGAGTTCGACAGATCATCATGCAGCATGACTGTAGGCAACTACAGTACAATCTCATGCATCGTGTGATGCCTATTAACTTCGCCATATTCTGGAGCACGCTGTTTTCGGTGTTATAGCCGCGTTTGTCGGGTCGCTTCTTCAACCAAACCCCAAGAGCAGACCCAAGGCACCTCTGGCTTCGCCCATGGCCCCTTCACGGCACGCATGCAGGACGTAGGGTCCTGGCCGGCTTTAAGGATGATCGGCTTCGCAACTTAACTTTTAGGTTTAGGGGAAGGGTTATAAGGGGGCATCCGGGAGGTACTGAAGATTCTGCGATGGCACTATTGGGTTCCCTCAATGAGTTTCCCTCTAAGCTACACTGCTACACCTGGCGATGTTGATCGCGGGAACAAGAACAGCTGCCTCACTCACTCATTCACGAACCACAAGGACTACTGACACTGCGTCGGCGATCACGACGACAACGACGATGGCGAACCTACGACAACAACTATCGCCTCAAGCACCCGTCCCACCATTCTCCTGGCCACCACGACAACAACCAACCGAAAGCAACCGTGTGACAAGAACAACGACGGTGTAACAAGAACAAAGACGACGACGACCACAACAGCAGCAGCATCTGCGATCATCAGCGTCTCAGAACCAACTCCACGGCGAGCAGCGGCACGAGCAGCACCAGCACCACACCAGCACCAGCACCACCAGAACCACCATAAACCACCATAAACCTCCCATAAACCACCATAAACCACCATAAACTCCATAACCACTGCAAGCACTGCAACAATACTCACCACAACAACACACAAACCACAACGACAAACTGTAGCAAAAACATGCTCCCCTGACCGCGCCTGACCGTCGCAGACACAAGTGCCGCCGTACATCTGAGGCCTAGACGGGATATGAGATACTGTAAGGGGCGGCTTGGATTGAGGTTTAGGAATCGAATATGATTTATTGCATGGACGATATGAAGTTTACGACGACACGGTTCTCAACGAATGAATCTTGTCACCACTGTTGAGGCTCAGCCGTGAGGCTCCCGTAGAGGCCGGTGACCAAGGGCCGAAGGCTAAAAGTCCCAGAATTGGAACTCGAGATCCGGCATCACTTCTCTCGTGCTGAACCCCCGAAAAAATTCCAAGCCCAACACCCCTAACCCAAAACCTCTCAACCACCATCATGAACGCTCAGAATGCGACAGCTGATCAGCGTCGACCAGATCAAGGAGGCACTGCACGTACGCCTGCGGGTCCGAAACAATTCAAGCGAGGCCCTTGCCCGCAGGATATCTACGGGTTCGGGGTTGATAGGGCGTGTTCTCTCTTGTCTTCTGCTTCAGTCTTCTGAATTAAGCCAGGCTGGAGCTCGAGGGGTGAGTGTGTCAGGAGTTCTCATTGAGGGCCCGGGCGTTTGAGGCTTCTGCAGGCTCGGAGTTCGATGGCTTCAAGCGGAGGGTTACACAGCTGCTGTACAGCGTACGGCTATTAGGTTTAGATGCTCTAGACTCTAGCTGGTCTGGCGCTCAGACTTGTCGTTTTGCTTTTCGGGGGATATCAGGTGGCCTCTCGCTGATCGCTTCCGAAGATCGAGATCTTCTCGACCGTCTTTGCATCCAGCTGTGGCTTTACCTTCGCGATGCCCGGCGCGCACACGGACTTTTGAAATTCAGGGCTGCCTGCAAATGGGTAGTTCTCTAAAATAGGGTCCCTTTTTGGGTCCCCAATATTGTACGGCACCCTTTTATATGGACCCTAAAAGGGGCCCTAATTTAGAAAACTACCCAAATTAAGTTAGGTGCATCCTCTACAGCCGTCGGACCCAAAAGTCTGGCCTTCCAGCCTTTTTCTGCGACTGCTCACGGCTTTCATAAGCAAGTATTTGAGTTTACGTTTGCGCAACTAGAGTGTCCACACAGCCCCACTGTAAGAACTCCATGCCTTAGACCTCGTCAACCCCTAGACAACACTAGACTCTTAGACCCTAAAACTTCTAGCCCGAAAGCCTCAAGAACCCAGACCTTCAATGCTGCTTACCTGCCGAACCTGAACAGTCAAGCCAGGTCGAGAAAAGTTTAAAGCCCCGGTTATTTTATGTAAGTATAAGTTTTGAACAATTCAAAGACCAGGCCCAGGAATTTTCGGATCGCCCGTAAGAGCCCAGTTGCAAATGACCATGCGATGCCGAAAACCCGAGGGGCATTGATGATGATCATCCTGAGCAGTTCTTCTGGTTGAGGGCACAGGGCGTCGTTCAGGTGCCTGAGCCCAGAGTTAAACTCAAGAACGGCTTTAATTTAGGGCCTGGGACGCCTGTCCGATTTTCCCGGGCCCCGTGCCCCGAAAGCCTTGCCGTTCCTAATCCTGTCAAGACCTGAGGCCTGAAAGTTGCTCCGCTATCCAAAGGCGGGGTCGAAACCTCCCTTCCTAGCTCATGTGGAGGCTCATAGATGTCATCGTCTCCGATTCACAATAGGCTTTATCGGGATCAGGCCATCAAGAACAGAAAAAGGCATCATTGGCTGCACATGCCACAGCAGCACCAGAATGCACATAGCCATCAGCATCAGCTCGTCATCGTCGTTCATGGTCATGGTCATGGCTGATCGCTCGCTACAAAGCCGGAAAGCGCCAAGCTACGATTGCCGTGGCCTGCACACTCAGACGGCCTGGCTGGTACTGGATCCCCGAAAAAACGAGTCGTGAGCCTCTAAACCGAAAGCACAAATTCGACAGTTGGAATCTACCTCTGGACTCTCAGTGGGCCTATTTAAAGCCTCAGCACTGAACCCTGCAACCCTAAGCCGGGAATCGCAAAAGCCTTCGGGGGGCCTCCCGCTGCATTCGGGGTAGTGGTTCTGCAGCATGCTGACCACGTCCTTCATAGGGGTGGTTGTCCAAATTGTGGTCCCTTCTGGGGTCCTTATTATAATACGGCACCTATTATTTAGGGTACCCCAAAAGGGACCATAATTTTGACAACTAGCCATAGAGTGCCAAGGAAAAGGCGGACGACGGTGGGCATCAACAAGTTGTTGCCACTGCAGGATTCTAGGATTTCCGGGCTTCTCGGGTCAACAATGGCCATGGTCGTGTGACCCCCAATCTGGCTTCAAAGAATCGCATTTGCAGGGTTTTGTCAGGACAGCCGGATTTAAAGCCTTCGGCACGATTGCCTTCGCCTTGAGCCTGGGCTTTGGTGCCTCGGGCCAGGAGAACCCACGTCACATGCGGGGCCTTGACCACCTTCCGCGCCGTCGTGTGCGTGACCTCATCGGGAGGAAGCCGCCCAACGCTCAGAGCCATAATCCAGGGCTCCAGCGATGTGAAGGCTGTCTACGTGGCGGTCTCATGTTTGTGCTTTTCCCGGTAGAAGAGCTGCACGCAGAACGAACAAGGAAGCGTCGGGAGTGATAACGAAGCTGGACTTGGTGACTAGGCCCAACTTAGTCCTTTGAACTTCCTAGGTAGAACTGTTCAGATGAAACCGGTGTAAATAGCTGCAACGAACGACCCTGTCGCATCTTGTGTGCACTAAACCCTAAACCCTTAACCCTAAACCAGGTTTAGGGTTTCACAAAACTGAGCCTGAGGCAATTTTGAAGCTCAGGCCCTCCAAGTCCATGATGTTCAAAGACCTGTTAGGGCTTAGGTTCCAGGTGCAGGGCATAGGATTTTGGTTTGGGATTTCTGGGCGTCGGGTCGAGGAGTAGGCGATAGGGCATCTGTGGCGTGCTGAATGCGACTAGCTTCGCGGTCTGACTAGTGTACATCGCTCGTCACATACGTCAGTTAGCGACATTCGAGGGTACATGGGTGATTCTTGGTTGGCATCCGAGTCGCGAAAGCAATGACAACAAATGACTAAACGAAGAAAACTAGCCTACCACCATGGCCCATGGCACATAGTGTCCCGCAGCAGGTCCCTCTAAGGCGCCAGCTTGTCAACCACTTCTCCGCGCATTAGCGAACATGCCTTGAGAGTTGACGAGATGCGGTGCCAAAGTTCTCCAACACCTACTATGACTATGACATGATGTTTCAGCCCATCGGTGCACAACTACAGCCGAGAGCAGGGCCGGCAGCCGACGCCGTATTTGCAGCTCCGTCTGTGCATAAACATACCTTGTCGTCGCAGGGTCTAGCGGTGGTTCGGGCGAGAGGTGTTGTCGACAGACTGGGCGCCCAACTGAAGAATTCTCTCACAGCTTGTGACCTGTGGCTGTGGCTTCCAAAGAAACAAGTTCGTGATGATTGCTATTCGTTTGTGCTGCGTTTGTTTGTCTTTCCGTGCCTGTCAGAACTATCGAACTGCAACCGCTGTGCTGGCCGTTTGCACTGTTGCTCCTTTCGCCAGTAATGCTACAGATGTTTTGCATTGCCGTTGAACCATAAACGCTAAAACGACGATCCTGAGCCAACACGAAACAGCAGCGGCAGCAGCAACCACCACAACCACCATCATCACCACCATCATCACCACCACCACCACGGCCTCCTGCTGCTGCTAAATGATTACCAATCACTACTTCGGTGCGAATACTAGTAACGGCTTGCGATTGTCATAATGGAGATATGCATGAGCATAAACAACTATCCTCATCGACAACATGATGCTCGTGATAATCAAATGCGGGCGCTGCTGATGACAAGGACCAGGACCATGACGGCAATGACAACGACACTGACAATGCTGATGCTGGCAGCATGCTTATGATGACGAGGAGGAGGACGGGGGGTGACGATGGTGATTGTAATGACAATAGTGAGATATGATGAGCAGGAAAAGCAGTTTTGGCAGTACTTGCCGCATGAGTACGACGATGCTGACTCCAGTGGTGGATGATGATGTTGATGAACGCGATGACGCCTGAGATCATCATGATGGTCGCGATCATGAGGGTGCTGACGACTGATACCACCATTGTGCTAATGCTTACCGAGGACCTTAGAGGAGGTAAGGTCTACAATGGGGTCCCGTGGCGAACGATGCCCATGTTGCACCTCCAGCGTCAACGGCTGCGGATTGACTCTCTTGAAAGAACTTGCCGCATCCACAACCCTTCGCCTACTGTACATTGATGCACACAACGTCGTCCGTCTGTGTTTCATTCGCTTCCAAGGCAAGACCGGAAACACCAGGACAAGGATCCTGAAGTTTAAGCATCCTCGAGCTAAACTCCTACGAACTGCCTGCAGCAGCCGTGGCATGTCAATAAGCCCGGGCCGCTCGATGTAGAGCGGACCTTAAAAAATCCGAGGCCCAAGGACCCGAAAAGAAATGGCAGGTTGTAAGCCTTGTCAAGGATTTGCCCATGACAATCCTAGCCGGGTTCATGGCATTAAACAGAGCTGAACTCGCAAATCTCATGCGTCTTCGCTCGAAGAATGTAGCACAATACCAACATGGCAGGACAATCACGGCCTGCTTCTGAGAAGGAAACTACGCATAAGAAAAGGTGGGGTCCACGCGGCCCAGCTTGTCCGTGCCGTGGTATGCCTGAGAATGGGAGAGCGTAGGACTCTTGAGCTTGGGGGGTGTCCTCGGGGGGTAGGACTTCTAGCGGGCTGTAAGTGTGGGGCTTGGGCAAACTTGACATTAACGAATACGCAGAAGCCCTCAAGCGCCCACCCCAACCCCTCAAGTCTGCAACAGGAACCTAAGCAGGGCTAAGCTATTATGCTATAAGGGCTGCAGAGGGACATCCCTCAGGACAGAAGCACTGTCAAAGCCCTTCCGACGCTTAGAAGGATGTGATGTGAACTCCCGAAAATCTGCGGCCTTTGGGATAAATAGTGTTGAGATGGTTTAGGGTTTAGAGTTTAAGTTTAAGGTTTCGGTAAGGTCCAGGTCAGCTTGTGTGGCACAGGTTGTCTAAGGACCAAGGTGAGGCACTTGACGCTTCGGCCTTGGAAACATCCCCTTCCCCAGCATGCTACTGACACGAAGACTTAACCCCTCACTCTCCACAAAGCTTTGAGAAACACAAAAGCTGAAACGCCCTGAAAACCCTTAGTTACCGTACGGGCTAAGGGAGTGAAGGCCGGGAATGATGGCCCTGCGGCCTGTGGGTAGTAGCGCTTGATGTGAACCTGGCACAGCTGCGCAGCAAGGGCTGGAACTGGCAGAGGGTCACTGATCGAACCCCCTGCGGGGCTTCGGGGCAGCCTCAATCCAAGTACTCATCGAGTTGCGCTCTTCAGTGCTCCCTATCTCAACCCATCAATACGAACGAACAGACTGCAAAACCCTCCCCGACTGCTTCAACTCTTAGCTCTCAACCCGAAGCCCAAAGCCCTAAAGCTTCCACATCGAATTCCTGGAAGCCCGCCTGCCGCTACTGCAAATGAAAGTATAAGCATTCTAAGGCCTTTGAAAGCTGCGGCCTCCTCCGGAAAGGGGTCCTTGAGCAGCGTCTCCATGTTGGTCTCAGCCAGCCACCTGTTACCGAACGTTACCGAACCATATGTACGAGTAGCGGTGAAGCTCAACGTAGAGCCCTGTTTACAGGTATCTTGATGAAACTCGTTGATTGATACCCTGATTGGAGATTGCAAGAACTCCATAATTCCCGCAGATTTCGGGTCAAGAGCGCCCCTGCCTTCAGGGCTCTAGCGGTGTCTGGACAGCTGCATGAGTTGGGACTTTGAGCTACACCCTTAAACAAACCCGGAATCCCCGAAACCCTGTACCCCAAGGCCCCGCCTATAGTGGCCTTCGAGCATGGCAACTGCTTTGTCAACGTCCCACCTTAGACTCCGGCGATTTGGGAGGACCCGAAGTTGAGTATCTCTCTGGGTTTGCATGAACCTAGTTCAAAGGCGACTCCGACATGTTGAACAGCATATAGAGCACCGTGCAACCGCGAAGGAGCGGCCTCGCCTGCTCTCACAAACACAGCAGCAAGCTCATTATGTAGAGACTGTGCTGGCACTGCCATCTCGCTGCAGGCATGTTGGACCTGTCCGCGCTACTGCCAGGATTCTTTCAATTCGACACGTTGCCGACCCAAGGAAAACGTGTCCGCCAAAAGCGGCCTAAGGGATAGCTCCGCTCTGCAGAAAACCGCCAGGTGCACGCCACGCCATAGAGAGAAGTCTTTGGCTAACTTCATCCCCGGCACACAATCGGAAACAAAAAGGTAAACCGGCCACACACCTCCTCGGCGCGTGCAACCATGCTAGACTCGGACCTATGTGCAGGTCGCTGCGGCTTTCTGCAAAAGCGTCGGCATGCTTTTGACTCGTGATGCCCGTCCGTGCTCTCATAAGGCTGCAACACGAAAGGGGCCAAACTTCTCGGCATCCCAAACCATACAAACACCCACGAATGTCTTTGTGGTGTTGTCCTCGGGCAAGCTGCAACGCGAATGGGGTAAACAAACTGGCTCAAACTTCACGGAATCCCAAACCATACAACTGCGCATAAATATCGTTTGCAGTTTTGTGCCCGGGCCAAACAGCAACTTGAAAAAGTTCTACCTTTTCGGAATCCCAGACCATACAAACGCGCGTAAACGTCGTTGTGGCTGTGTCCCTGGGCCAAACTGCAACACGAACGGGTCAACGACACGAAAAAGGTTTAAACTGTTCGGCATCCCAAAGCGCACAAACGCCTATAAATATCATTATGATGGTTTGTCAGCCGGCCAAACTGCAACACGAAAGGGGTCAAAACTTTCGCATCCCAAATCGATGTGGTTTTGTCCCCGAACAAGACTGCAGCAGGAGAGGGAGTAAACTTTTCGGAATCCCAAACCATGCAAACGAGCATGAATATCGTTTGCAGTTTTGTGCCCGGGCCAAACTGCAACTCAAACTTTTCGGAATACCAAACCATACAAACGCTTTTGTCTCTGGGCCAAACTGCGGAGACAGTGCTTACATTACATGATTTTTGTTTAGACGGCAGCGCATCTACGGCCAAAGTTGGACTTGAAAGCCCACACCGAAGAGGCATCACAAAAACGAACCTGATGTCAGACATCGAGACTGGCTGCAAGAAGAAAAGTGAGTAAAGCTTTGGAGCTAAACCGAACCCCGCAAAGTGGCGTGTCGTCCTGGTACTCAAATTGGCCGTTGCCAAGGGCAGGACTGTCTCGCGATGAGAAAGCGCACCAGCATGTGGTCGCATCGCATGTAGCCAAGCTTGTCCTGTGTTTGAAGTTAGCTGTTGTGCGCTTCCTTGCTGCTACGCACACACAGGCTGCCGTTATGGAAAACTAGGCACCATCATTCGGCATCATCCATTCCACGTCGAGCTGGGCAATCAATGAAGCAATACATTCTGAGGCCCATGCCGGTACACACGGGAATGAGTGCAGGCAGTCGAAACGAAATCAAACACGATGTACCGAATCGAGGTCTAAACTGCGCCGCCAACCCAAGATCGAAAGTGCCAAGCTATCCAGCCTGAATGGCGAGCAAGTGCTACTTGCAGTTGTTGTGAAGGAAGCCATCATTGACACCAATCTCATTTCCCTCGTCTTCCTCATCATCATCATCATCTTTCTCATCATCATCCCCACCATCTGCCATCAACATCCTCATCGCCTCGTCCCCGTCATCCTCATCACCTTCCTTCTTGCTTCCTTGCCTCGGCAGAGCCCGGCTTCGGTCCCTCCTGGGATTCGACGAAGATTCGGGGTTTGGGGACTTCAAGGCATTGGGCCTTGTGACGTGAGAGGGTTCGAGGCCTCTCCGTCGCACACTTCAGGAGGTGAGTTCAGGTTCATGGTTTGAGCTGCTGGAGCGCTCATTGGGGTTTGCTTGGCTCAGGGCATAAGCCACGAGGCTAATGCGCAAGCTCACACCAAGCCAACCTCCTGATCGAGAACGAAGACCCCAAAGCTTATATAAATATAAACCTTACAAGGCCCAAAAAGCCCAAAATACCCAAACCCCCACCCTCCCCCCCACTACTCCAAAAAAGGAACCCAAAAGCCCCATACCCCCTAAAACTCAAACGACAGGAAGGCTCCTTGCCGCTGACGCGCCGGCGCACGGCCTCGAGCCGTGCCTTGCCATCCTTCCAAAAGATTCTCTCGGGGGCATAGGGTGGTTTCCAGGTATTGTGGGTTTTTCGTGGCTTCGGGTTTTGGACTTTAGGGTTCGGGTTTAAGGTTTAGGGTGTAGAGTTTTTGGGGTGACTCGGATTTAGGTCGGACAGGTCTAGAGTCTAGGATAGTTCTCCTAGGCCCCCCAACTACCCTGTATTGGCCAGACGGCCAGGGGCCTTGCCCTAACATTCTGCTTTTCGAGGGTTACAGCGAGGACCTGCGCTGCATGACACGTTGCCTGAGGCTGCTCCTTTGAATTTTACTAACGGGCCTCATCAAAGCGGCTTCTAGCGCTCTAAGGCTCTCCTTGAGACTCCCTACTCCTGAAACCCTGAACCCCCCCGAAACCACAAACCACACCTGGAACTAACAAATCCCCAAGGCTTTCTGAGGCCGCCGCGACGCCGGGGGGGATGGTCTGAAGGTTCTTGCCTCAATGGGCCGGCAACCAGAAGCTGAAAGCCCCAAACACCAGGGTTCCGCTTGGATCAGAGCCAAAACTGGAGCTTTGGGGCTTAGGATCTCCGAAAACGTTTCAATGATCCAGGGTGGCCCCTGGTCCCTGGTGCTTGCCTTGACGAAGGACAACTCCCTGGATCCTAAACTGGCCTGAAATACTGGGATTTCAAGCGCTGGTTTGCCCTTCAAGCCTCCTCCTACATCCCACAGCCTGGCCTGCTGTGCCCAATCCCTAAACCTTAAACGATGTAGGAATCTGAGTCGAAGTTCCTACTCCAGGATCTACGGCCGAGAGTTCAGGGGGAGACTAGGGTTTGAGGTGTTGGGGGCCTCTGGCTCAGTGATTGAGATGTACGGGACCATCTGAGGAGTCAAAGCTGCCTGCCTCGCCTGAATCCGGATCTCTTGACAGCGAAAGCCTACTCCAAACCGAAAGCCGGGAATCCCTGAACCCAAAGCCCTGAACCTTGACACTCCCTCAACCCTGGACACTTTGCCCCAACAACCTCTGACGACACCCTGCAGAACATCTTGAACCCGAATGCCCTATATTCTTTCCAAAAATTCTCATGCGAATGCGAAGAATACCGTGATTGCGCATTTTCGCTTCTCGTGATGAGCGTGAGCGCAATCATAATTGAGATTGTGCTTATGGTCCCGTTCGGCGGCAAACCGCAGCCTGAATGGCCGCAATAAGAAACGGCCATAATCCCTCATGATTTTAATTTGCCCGCTTGGAAGCTCCGTTAATGTAGCTCCCTCAATCTGAAGATCTGAAACGCTGGAAATGAGGTCACCGCCGTACATGGAGGCATCACGGAGTGCACCCGCGGTGACTCATATGTACTGCCGGTCTGCTGTGCTGACCGTGCTTTGGGCTTGGGTTTGAGGGTTAGGGCTTCCGCCTACAGGGCTTGAGTTGGTGGGGGGGTTTGGTCAGCCCCGGGTGCATCTGGGTGTGTGATGCTTCTTTTTTTGAAGGTGTCTGACGTCTCCCCCCCGAGGCTGAGAGATGGAGTTTCAGCCTTAGGGCTTCGAAAAAAGTCCTATCAGAAACCGGCAGACTTTTCCTGTCACTGACTTTGGCGGTAGTCTGAAAGCCCTCTGAGTGAGTAGTTGTCGTTGGTAGAATGACATCTGGCGTGCTGAGAGCTGCCGGCCAAAGAAGCAGCGGGATCCCAGGTCAAGGCTGCACACAGGACTGGCTGAAGTTCTAGGATCTTAAGGTTTAAGGGTTTTGTGCTGATGGATTATCACGAGAGGAATGACAGCAATGACAGCAAGCGAACAAGGGCTTAATAAATGGAGACTTTCTCCAGCAAAGGCAGGCACAGGTCAGCATGGCCTGATGTTGCTAGGAAGGGGCTTAGAACACCTAGCGCCTCGCAGATTTGCAGCGGCGGAAACTAACGTATAGACTGATGCCTTTTCATGTATCACCCTGTGCTGAAGTCGCTTAACCCTGAGCCCAAAAGCCTCCTTTTCAGAGGGAAGAGTCGGCTGGCACAGGTCCCGTCTCGGAGGATGCGCTCACTCCTTTCGCTGGATCTGCCGTCTGACCTGCACAAAACCCCCGAAGTCGGAGCCCAGGGGTAGGGTGGGCTTCTTCTTGGATCTCAGACGGCTTGGGGTGTCAGGAGGAACTCTGAGGAGGTTCTGACCATGAATGGCCCACGGGGGGGGCGGACCAAAACGACGTCTCCCCCCCTCACTTTGTACAACGCTGCTGCCACCTTGTGGTGGGGGAAGTTCCACTCCTTGTTGGCTCTGAATCAATCATTTGCATGGTGGCACGGGGTCAAAAAGGACCAGGTAAGGTCCTGCACACAATTTTCACCTATAGTTTTCTATTACCTAAGTGACCTAAGTGAATGGTAAGCAGCAACTCTCGCAAGCTCCACACAGCTAGTTTTCGTGACTACGAACCCCAGTTTAAGTAAATTGATCATTTGGACTCCCTATCCAAGAATTCCTGTTCTTGAAGATGTCAAGAAGTGCCATGTACACGGGGTGTTGTGGAAAAAAGGTGGAATGGGGGGAAACGGGGACCTGCAAGGGACCCGCACAGATCTGCAGGAACCCGCGAGGGATAGGGCTTTCGTGGGAAAAGGGGGAGGAGGGGACCCGGACACAGAGTTTTCGTGGGAAAAGTGGACCCGCAGGGACCCGCGCCGAGGCCTGTAAGTAAACTGATCCAACGGATCAATAGGGTCACAGCGCCTATATAAGAACACCTCATTTATGCAGTGGCACGGGGCCAACCCCCCCCCCCATCAGAGAAAGTACCAGATAAGGTCCTGCACGCAAGTTTCACATAGTTCTCTGCTAGCTGCTACCTAAGTGAATGGTAAACGACAACTCCCGCAAGCTCCACAGAGCTAGCTTTCGTGATGTAGGAAGGGCAAGAGCTCGTCCCAGCAGATCAAATGAACTGCACAACCTGGGGAAGCCTCTTCTGGCATAGAACCCAAATCCCTGAACCCTAAATCCAAAAATGCACTTGCGCCCAGCCCCGAACCCCAAAGCCTGAAGAGCCCCCAAGATCTCTAGGACCTTATGGCTTATAGGGCTTTGTGCGACAGGACATGGCATGACCACTGGGAGGGCCTTCTTCTTGGAGTCGTTGTCTGGCACCTTGACGACCTCAGTCCCACCGGACGATCAAAGAGAGGCAGTGGGCAGTGGCTGATCTCACTTCCGCTACGTCACGGTTAAGGCCACCACCAAAGTGTGCTGATACCATGCCTGCAGGAGGTTAGCTTCTTTCATGCCAGGCGAGTAGGCCTCAATCCTAAACCTGCCAGCAAAGCCTAAATCCCAAGCCCCAACCCCATGACGACATACAGGCACTAGTGACAGGAATGCGTCTGCAAGAACCCCTTAAAATGAGGATTTCGGTGTCAGCCTTCCGGGTACGTGCTTTGGGTTCTCACTCCACATCCCGCCAGACTCCAAAAGCCTCCAAAGCTTCACTTAACCCCAGACAGGCACCTCAAAAAAAGTGCTGGAAGGAAGTACGGGCCGGGCCGGGCCTTTGGATCTGGCTTGAATTTGCTGCTGTGAGGCGCATGCGCCGGCTCCCCGTAGTATCTGCGAGCATGAGCGCTCATGAGGATTTTAAGGATACGGCGGCTAGGGATTGCGGTTACAGGGTCAAGGCAACAAGGGCTTGAGAAGTTGGCATTTCACAAGGTCAGGATGGGATCCTGCTCACCAGGATCTGTGTCCGAGGTGCATCGATGGGCCTGAACTCTTGCGCCGCAGCCCGTGCGCTTGAACACCGCAGAGCCATGTACGCCCTGAATGTAGGAAACTTATAATTAGAAATGGGATTTTGGGGTCCATTAGACTACGATTATAATAAGGAACCCTCAATTACACCCTTACACCTTTGTAAGCTGAAAGCCTCCCATGGCAGAACCCAGCACCCCGCCTCTTGAAGAACTGCTCCTGGGCACATGCGGGCGGTTTTAGGGCTTCGATGTGAGCCTTGGATTTTCCATGACGGCTGCAAGCTGTGGGACGGAGGTTTTGAAATTTCGGGAGTTCGGGGTTTGCGCCTTGGGGCTGATGGTGGCTGACTGTGGGATGTGGCGCCTCAGCTTCTGCTGGTGTCCCAAACCCAACAAGCCGCATCCACAGTGCAAGGTCTTTCGCTTTTGTCCACCCTGATGCGTCCCCGCCAAGAACGCCAAAGCCCCCAACCTCAACCTCGGAGCCATGCTCCGAAGCACTCCTAAGCCCTGCACCCTCAAGCCTGAAACCCGATAACCACATCATCTCAACACAGACCGGCAGGCGCAACTGGGGGCCGTGCCATGTCCATAGCCTTGGGCGTCCGGCTCATCGTTAAGTATTAATTAGGTATATGGGTGGTTTAGGTTGTCTTTCGTTGTTGCCAGTTTTCGTTTGTTGCGGGAGCGACAGGGCTTTCAGGCCTTCACAAAAAGGATGATGATTTAATTACGGGGCTGTTGGTGGTTTGCTTCTCGGGCGTCTTTAGAATCATGGGTTCATGATGATAACGCGCCAGGACGGCGCTTTGGATTATGTGCTGTTAGCGGTGGTGGTGGTGGTGGTGGTGGTGGTGGTGGTGGTGGTGGTGTTGGTGGTGGTGGCGGTGGTGGTGGCTGGCGGTGCTGGCGATGGTGGCGATGAACCGAGACATAGCCACCGCTGGACCCTCAAATCTTTAAAGCCGGAAAAATCCCCAAGCCCAGCCCCGGAACCTAAAACTACAGCCCCACATGAAGGCCCCAAGAAGCCCTCAAACCTAGAATAGTAGCCTGAACACTTGGCTATCTATCCGAAAAGCATTATAGTACGACTTGTTCAAGCCCCCATGGTCAACAAGACTGCTAGCCATTAACTACATAATTCCGAAACCCCAAGCCCCCAACCCTTAACCTCTTACCCTAAACCGTGAACACTCCTAAACCCCCAACCCGCCGGGCCACGGATCTGTGAGGGCTTGGCTCCGGAGCTTCGGTCCCCACCTGCCTGGAATTCGCGGTGAGGGATTAAGGGATCAGATTGGGTTGGGGGATTTGGGTTTAAGGGTTTGTGCATTCAAGGGCTTGTACTTACACGCGCAGAAGAAGTCTCTCTGAGCCCGGCACAGAGTCACAGGTCGGTTGAAGTCCGGGCTGTTCTTCAGTGACATTGCCATGGCACCTCGGATGAGGTTGAGATGACGGCTCAGCGGCTTCCATGCCGACACGGGGGGGGTAGGCCAGGCAAGCAGGTGCCATAGTCCGAGTGCAACTGAGACACACGATGGGTTGGCTTTGCGAAACCAACGACACTCTGTGAAACTCCTCAGCTCCGAGCCTTTTGTGCAGCACAAGCCAGCATGTAATTCTAGCGGGCTCATAGGCACCGCTTCGGCGCGAATGCAAAGGTTCCCCAGCTAAAGCTCAGAAATCAGCGCACCATTTCTCCTGCTACCGCACTGACACAATAAAACGAATAAAACGAAAAAGACTACTGGGGTACCGACGGTATGCTGTCAATCAGGTACAATCAAGCCCTTTTCGGCCCGAGGGGGCTGAGCGTGGACATGCTTCCGCCAAAGGCCCACATGAATGCCAAGGACTAGGCCCTTACCAGCACCCGTGGCGGAAGAATTACGCGACTGCGTACATAAACCTGGGAATACGTCATTGGGCGGTAACCTCCGAGAAAGGATGTCTCCCGAATCATTGGGTGTGCTCGAAGTGGAGCAGCTCGAGATTGGACATACACCACTGGCCGGATGACGTAGACGGGAGGGGCTCCTCGCTGGAATCCCTGCATGTGCACGGCTGGGCAACGGCTCCGGTCGAAAATAGATGTAGCGGTGCTTGCAACCATCTTCACTGCGGGGTTTGGGATCGTCTTGGTGTGACACGGAAACCTGCCTGGAGAAGGGGTTGCGTCAGTGATTGTGTGGCTTCATAGGTCGTTGCAGGGGTCTAGTCCGTACGATTCCAGAGTGCAGGGTTTCTTGATTAGGGCGCAAGCTAGAGAGCTTCAGTGTCGTAGGGATAAGGGATCAGGGCTTAGCTTGTGCGAGTTGGAACTTGGCAGCCTGCGACACTGCGAGCTGCATAAGTCCTGGAAAGCTCATGTCCTGGGGCGTGGCCGAGGACATAGGAGTATGGAGTGGAGTATGGAGCCGAGCATAAGGCGGCTGGCGCGACGGTCGTGGCTGCGACGGCCTTGGGCACCTTGGGCTCCTTGGCTGAAACGGGCGTTGGCGCTTCCTTCGGGGCCAACCAGCGCCGCCGCTGGGTCTCCTCGTTCTCGGGTTGCCAGAGGTGGTTTTCGTTGCCACCGACGTACAACTCGGGACAAATGTCCAAGACCATGGTTCGTCACGGGCTACGGAATCTGAATGCTAAACCCTACGAGTACACCGTGAAGCTACAGGCCCACTGCCGAACTTGGATTTGTTCAGATCAGACACAGGCCGTGTGTGCATGGCCCTCTTCGTCTCCGAATTTGCACCGTGACCTGATGGTTCCAGATGGCTCCAGGTTTTGAGCCAACTTCCGGACGAGATGCCGTCATGAACAGCAATGCGACATCACTGCATCTCAACAAAAACTAATTGATGCCTCTGATTCCTGGTACTAGTAACACTCGGATTTCCTCTACTACAGTACCACTGCCTCCGTGACGATTGCCGAAGCTGGGAGGATGCGCATTCGCGGCTTGTGCGGAGGGTCAAGGGCTTGGGAGTTAAGGCTCGTGGCTCACGGCCAGGGACATGGACTTCCAGGAGTTTGAGATTTCGAACCTTCGCGAGTGTTCCTGGCATGCTTTTAAGCTCACTCCAAGATCGCAAGACCCTAAACCCCCACCTGAAAGCCTTCAAAGCCCTAAACACTGCGTTTTAAGATTTCAAGCCCGGTAGCTAGTTTGTCAGCGCCAAGCTGCTTGCGTCAGGCCCGTGGCGGGGATACACGGGAGACTAGCACACAACTGCCCACATCCCAGCGGAATCTGCGGCGAAACGGCCCTCGGGGTTGGGGATGAATGTCACATTCAGGAATGTCTATCTGGCGGGCTGTCTATCTGGCAGCAATCTCTCGGGCGCTGGATGTAAGACCCCTTGCCTCGTGGGATACAGGAACGCGGATTGATGAGGGGTATTCACGCTGGCATTCCTCCACAGAACGAGGCGACCATGTAGGCCCACTTTGAATTGGCAGCTGCTTCGTTAACAGTCATGATAGTAACCATCAGCATCATCATCACCACCTGCAATACCACCATCACCACCCTTACCATCAACGATCAGCGCCACCTCCGCCGCCACCTCCGCCACCACCATCATCGTCATCGTCATCATTACTATCATCATCAGCATCATCCTCATCACCGTCATCATCATCGACATAACCATCGTCGTCGTTATATGGTTTATATACGAGAGTTGAGTCGAAGCGAATGCCGCATGGACGAAGCAGCTGACACCGATAGCGGGATCGAACAAGACACTCGCCTACGAGAATTGGGCACGTTGCCTCAGGGCTCCTGTGAGCATGAGTGCAACCCGTGCAACCATAAGCATCCCGATTATTGAATGTATCAAGCTCATGATATGCTTATTCCCAAGCACCACTACCACGATTGCTTTGCTGTAGGGCATCTACCTTGCAGCTGAGCTTTTTGTGGGCAGCTTCGCGTTCGCCTCCGCTGGAAAACAGGTCTGGCCATCGACCAGAAGATTGCGAGCAATGCAACAGTGAAACTTCACTAGACGCCGAGATGCCTGAAAGATCAAAAAGGGCAGTGTCGAGGTTTTGCGAAATACTGCAAGCCCAAACCCCGAATTAACCCCTAAATCCTAAACCGCAAACACTCTGCGAACCCCAAACCCGCCCGGCCACGGATCTGTGAGCGCTTGGCTCCGGAGCTTCGGTCCCCACCTGCCTGGGATTCGCGTTGAGGGATCAAGGGATCAGATCAGAGATACCCTGCGGGTCGAGCGAGGATTGGGTCGAGGGATTTGGGCTTTGGGGTTTGGGCATTCAGGGACTTGTACTTACCCGCCGGGAAGAAGTCTCTCTGAGTCCGGCGCAGGTCGGTTGAAGTCCGGGCTGTTCTTCGGTGACACTGCCATGGCGCCTCGGACGAGGTTAAGGGACTCCCATGCCGACAGGGTGCTGTAGTCCAAGCGCATTTCAGACGAATAGGTTGTTTTTGCGAAAGACAACGATACTCCGTAGGACTCAGCTCCGTTGCTACCCATACTCCTGTAGATACTGCTCGCCAAGCCTAAAACCCACAACACCGACCAGCCTTTTTTGCAGCACAAGCCAGCATGTAATTCTAGCGGGCTCATAGGCACCGCTTCGGCGCGAATGCAAAGGTTCCCCAGCTAGAACTCAGAAATCAGGCACCATTTCTCCTGTTGCCCAGCATTCGCGCAGACAACCCAACATCCAGCCGTGCACATGAAGGGAGTTGCAAGCACCGCTGCATCGATTCTCGACCGGAGCTGTTGCCCAGCATTCCCGCAGACAACCCAACATCCAGCCGTGCACATGAAGGGAGTCCGCTCCCTTCATGTGCACGGCTGCATGTTGGGTTGTGTGCTGGAATGCTGGGCAACAGCTCCGGTCGAAAATCGATGTAGCGGTGCTTGCAACCATCTTCACTGCGGGCTTTGGGATCGTCTTGGTGTGGCACGGAAAGCCGCCTGCAGAAGGGGTTGCACCAGTGATTCCAGAGTGCACGGTTTCTTGATTAGGGCGCAAGCTAGAGAGCTTCAGTGTCGTAGGGATAAGGGCTCGGGGCTTAGCTTGTGTTGGAACTTGGCAGCCTGCGACACTGCGAGCTGCATACGTCCTGGAAAGCTCATGTCCTGGGGCGTGGCTGAGGACGTAGGAGTACGGAGCCGAGCTTAAGGCGGCTGGCGCGACGGTCGTGGCTGCGACGGCCTTGGGCACCTCGCGCTCCTTGGCTGTAACGGGCGTTGGCGCCTCCTTCGGCGCCAACCAGCGCCGCCGCTGTGTCTCCTCCTTCTCAGGTTGCCAGAGGAGGTTCTCGTCACCACCAACGTAGAGCTCTGGACAAATGTCCAGGACCATGATTGCAGTCTGAATGTCAAACCCTACAATGTAAAGCTACAAGCCCACTGCCGAACTTGGATTTGTTCAGACACAGGCCGTGTGTGCATGGCCCTCTTAGTCTCCGGAATGTGCACCGTGACCTGATGGCTCCAGATGGCTCCAGGTTTTGAGCCAACCTCGGGACGAGACGGCCCTTCTGGGCACAGCAGCCACTGCATCTCAACAAAAGGCCTTTGAGGCCTCCTATTCCTGGCATTAGTAACACCCGGATTCCTCTTACCCCTTCTCCTGCTCCTACTAATACAGTACCGCTGCCAGCGTGACGAGGTGCCGAAGCTTGCATGGAGGATGCGCATTCGTGGCTCAAGGCCAAGGGCGTGGACTTCTAGGGATTTGGGTGGGCCCATGCCCCAGTTCGAGTTTAAGATTTCGACCGTTAAGCTCAGTGCAAGATCGCAAGACCCTAAACCCGCAACCTGAAAGCCTTCAAAGCCCTAAACACTACTTGTTTGAGATTTCAAGCCCGGTATCTAGTCTGGCAGAGCCAAGCTGCTTGCGTCAGGCCCGTGGCGGGGATACACCGGAGACTAGCACGCAACTGCCCACATCCCAGCGGAATCTGCGGCGAAACGGCCATGGGGGCGGAGATTGAATGGCACGTTGAAGAGTGTCTATCGGGCGCTGGATGCAAGACCCCCAGCCTTTTGTGGGATACAGGCCCACGTATGCTGAATGATGAGGGGCCTTCAAGCTGGCATTCCTCAATAGGAAGGGCGACCATATAGGCCGACTTTGAATTCTCAGCTTCATCACCATCGTCATCGCCACCGTCATCATAATCACAATCATGATCATAATCGCTGCCATAATACCAATCATCAGCATCACCATCACTACCATCAATACAGTACCACCATCACTACCACCATATCACCCATACCATCACCATCAGCACCACCACCACCACCGCCGCCGCCACCACCGCCACCACCACCGCCACCACCACCACCGCCACCACCACCACTACCACCATCATCATCATCATCACCATCATCATCACCACCATCACCATCATCATCACCACCACCATCATCATCAGCAGCATCCTCATCACCATCATTGTCATCAATCTCATCGGCATAACCATCGTCGTCGTCATCTGGTATAGACATGAGGTTTGAGTCGCAGCGAATGCAGTAGCCGCAGGAGCGGCAGCAACAACGACATGGACGAAGGAGCTGACACCGATAGCGGGATCGAACAAGACACGCCTACGAGTCTTGGGCAGTGTGAGTGCAACCAGTGCAACCAGAAGCATGCCGATCATTGAATGTATTATGCATATTCCGAAGCGCTACCAAAATTGCATTACTGTAGGGCATCTCTACCTCGCAGTTGAGCTTTTTGTGGGCAGCTTCGCGTTCACCTCCGCTGGAAAATGGGTCTGGCCATCGACCCGAAGATTGCGAGCAACGCAAAGGTGAAACTTCCCCAGACGCCCGGACGCCTGAAAGATCACTAAGTGCAGTGTTGGGGCGCGGGAGTGAATTAGAAGGATGCAGTTTTGCGACATATTGCAAGCCCAAACCCAAACCCCTAACCCCTAACCCTAAACCGTGAACACTCCGCAAACCAAACCCGCCCGGCCACGGATCTGTGAGGGCTTGGCTCCGGAGCTTCGGTGCCCACTGCCTGGAATTCGCGTTGAGGGCGAAAGGGATCAGATCAGGGATACCCTGCGAGTCGGGCGAGGATTGGGTTGAGGGATTTGGGCTTTGGGGTTTGGGCATTCAGGGGCTTGTACTTACCCGCCCGGAAGCAGTCTCTCTGAGCCCGGCGCAGAGTCACAGGTCGGGTGGAGTCCGGGCTGCTCTTCAGTGACGTTGCCATGGCGCCTCGGAGGAGGTTGACATGAGGGCTCAGGGACTTCCTTGCCGACATGGGGGGGTTGGGGTAGGCCAGGCAAGCAGGTGCCACAGTCCGAGTGCAACTGAGACACACGATGGGGCTTTGCGAGACTCCTGTTGCTACTGCTCGCCAAGCCTAAAACCTACACACCGACCGGTCTTTTTGGTAGCACAAGCCAGCATGTAATTCGAGCGGGCTCATAGGCACCGCTTCGGCGCGAATGCAAAGGTTCCCCAGTCAGCTAAACCTCAGAAATGAGGGCACCCTTTCTACTGCTACCACACTCACACTATAACACGAAAAAGACTGCTGGGGTACCCACGGTATGATGTCAATAAAGCATAATCAAGCCCTTTTCGGCCTGAGGGGGTTGAGTTTGGACATGCTTCCGCCAGGGGCCCACATGAATGCCAAGGACGAAGCCTTGCCAGCACGGAGGTTACCGCCCGATGATGTATTCCTCCGTTTATGTACGCAGTCGCGTAATTCTTCCGTCGCGGAAGAATTACGCGACTTCGTACATGCACGGAGGGATACATCATCGGGCGGTATCCTCCGAGAAACGACGTCTCTCGACTCATTGGGCGCACTTGATGTGGAGCAGCTCGAGCTTGCACATACACCGCTGGCCGGACGACGTAGACCGTGACGGGAGGGGCTCCTCGCTGGACTCCCTGCATGTGCACGGCTGGATGTTGGGTTGTCTGCGGGAATGCTGGGCAACGGCTCCGGTCGAGAATCGATGCAGCGGTGCTTGCAACTTGCAACCATCTTCACTGCGGGCTTTGGGATCGTCTTGTGTGGCACGGAAAGCTGCCTGGAGAAGGGGTTGCATCAGTGATTATGTGGCTTCATAGGTCGCTGCAGGGGTCTTGTGCGTACGATTCCAGAGTGCAGGGTTTCTTGATTGGGGCGCAAGCTAGAGGGCTTCAGCGTCGTAGGGATAAGGGCTTGGGGCTTAGCTTGTGCGGGTTGGAACTTGCCAGCCTGCGACACTGCGAGCTGCATAAGTCCTGGAAAGCTCACGTCCCGGGCCGTGGCCGACGACATACGAGTAGGAAGCCGCCGTAGTGCGCTGTGCACGCTCCGAGCTTAAAGCGGCTGGCGCGACGGTCGTGGCTGGGGTGGCCTTGGGCACCTTGGGCACCTGAGAATGAGGAGACACAGCGCCGCCGCTGTCTCCTCGTTCTCAGGTTGCCAGAGGAGGTTTTCGTCACCACCAACGCACATTAGCCCCTAGACGAATCATGACCATGATTCGTCAAGGGGCTGCTTTACATTGTAGGGTTTGACATTCAGACTGCATATATGGAGTCTGAATGTCAAACCCAACAATGTGAAGCTACAAGCCCACTGCCGAACTTGAATGGCTTGAGACACAGGCCATGTGGGCATGGCCCTCGTAGTTTCCGGAATTTGCACCCTGACCTGATTGCTCCAGATGGCTCCAGGTTTTGAGCCA